AATCGACCACCATTCGATGCGAGAATGTTAGATGATTGAGAGCATGAAAATTGACAATCATTTGCAGCTGTATCATCACCTGATCCTTGAGGCGATTCAATTTTGAATGAAACACCTCTCAAAAAGTTATTGTTTCCAGGACAACGAACGATATTACTCCAATCGCCCCAATAACCAGCGTGTGGTGTAATTGATTTAACAGAAGTTCCATCTTTCTTTGCACACAATAATTCCAATGAATTCAAAGCTGTATCGTCACAATCATTGCCACATGGTTGCTCCACACGTTGTCGAAAACCTATTGCCCACGTACCCGCAGCACAATACATTATATCAGTAAATTCACCCCAAGGACCTGATTCTGGTTCAATCGTTTGAACTACATCATGTCGTGTTTCTACAATGAAAATTACAAAAAGAACTTATCTTTTATAAAGTAAAACAATTAAAATAGCAAACCAGTTTTGGTCAAAAAAATGCCGATTAAAGACGAATTGTTAAAAAAACTACTCGCTTGATTCTATATAACTGATTCTTTTGAAATTAGAATCCTTAGCAGATTTACGGAGGCATTATTAAGGGCTTAGGAAAGACAATGGAATCGAAATAATGGTAGATTTTTATTTCCTAGAAATTCAAATTTTCCTGTATATTGTGCCAACAGAACTTTGAATATTTATTTACTAAACCCCCCCCCCCCCCCCTTCCATATTACAAGACCCCCTCATAATAGAAGACCCCTTTCGGAAAAAATTGTGTCCCGCGTAATAGAAGACCCCCTATGTATTTAAGATTTTTTTTGAGTGCTGAAGATTTTCATTAGTTTTCTACTCCGAAATGTGTTCATTCCCAGGGTTTTCGGCTCAAAATTTTCAAACTGATGAGTTCAAATCTATATTTAAGATTCGAAAATCGTGAAAATTCTGTCTCCAATTTTCAAAATCGCTTCGGTTCTCTGAGAGTACCTTTTTAGTTACAAAAACTTATCAGTGTAGCCGCTGTGGAGCCGAAGTGTAGTACTCGTGAGACACAGACTGCTACAAATTTATATTATATTCTCAAAAACGGGTGGAAAAGTTTATTTTTAAAAGATATGAGATAAATGGATAGATTACAACTAATTCTATCGTTTGAGTTAAAGCATACGCTCTAAAACTTCATCCCAACGAAACTATTTCATTTCGAATTACTACTTCTTCCTTCGCTCCATTTATCAGATTTTCTGAATATATTTATAATATTAATACAGCCGACACAGAATGTTAAGTTTCTAAAGAAACATTGATCATAATGATTAATTTAGAACAATTTCTATTCCTACATTTCAAACATTTTTTTTTCTAATGCGTGCTTTTTTTCTTGTTGCTATTCGCTGTATTATTCTTCTGTTAATCGAGATTATTATTATTTCGTGTTATTCGATTCAAGCTTTTATTTAATAATTAAATAAGCTTAGTATAGACATCGGTTGTATCTTCATCCGATCCTAACAATCTTGTATGCATATTAATGTACTGAGTAAGACACAATATAAATATTTCTAAAAGTTAGAAAGTAGTTTGATCACGCTTTTATGTAACTTATACTATCGTTATGAAAAATCACAAAAGATTATCTTTCACATGAATCGTATAAACTTTTATCTGGGCGAAAAAAGTAGGCTACCTTTTTGCGAATGCTTATAAAAGTATTCGAACTATTGAAAAGCAAAAGATTTTAGAAATTTCCACAACCTTTTAAATATAATTGATTATTAGGACATGTTATGGAGAAGAGAGAACGAGCTGAAAAACCTTTACTCAAACTTACGGTCACTATTAGTTTCTT